TAGGGATCATTTCCACACTCATTTCTTTCCCTCTGTTGCTACTGAATCTAAAAATTAAGGCTGTTGCCTTGCCCAATCAAGTTAGCTTAGACTTGATTCAGTGACCTAATAATTCTCCAAGAGTGAGGTGGCATAACATATACACAGCTGATAACCCAGGGAAATGTCCTTTGAGTCCCAGAGGCTCATCTGTGATCCAGCACTGAAACTGACACTCAGAAGGAATTTTAAGACAGGTAAAGGAGGTTTTACTCATGTAACTCAATTTAGGGCACCTCAGTTAGCCAGTGACATTGGGTGGCTAAAGTTGAACATCCCCCTTTTGCTTTCCCATTGCCATCCTTGAAGTATGGCTAGTCCTGGAAAAGGTGGAGCAGACTACAAGTTGTGAGTTGTATAGTATTGAGGTCTGTGGGATAATGATACCCTTTGTGGAGAATGCAGACAGGCTTTGCTCAGCCATCAAGGATGTACTTGTAACTAGTACCTCTGATTTTTGACATCTAGTAACAGTTCCTGAGACTGCTGTGTCTTTTAAAAACTAGTACAAACCAAACTAAGTCAAGTCCCATGAGTATAGGTATCAAAGTAGGAACTCTTGGATAATCCTAGATCATCACAACTATTAGAAAACAGATTTGGCAGAAACATGGTAGTCCAGAACTGGCAAAATTCCTGCAGAGATCTATCAGTCTGAATAAAAATCAGGGCTGCTTTGACTCCATACAGATGGAGAACATGAAGGCTTGCAAGAGTAGTAGAGCCTTATACAGAGCAGAGGTCTTAACTCCTCACCACGAGAGGTATGCACAAATAACCCCAAACATCTAAGAGCTGGTGTCCCAAGAAGGAGACCATTGAAGGGGGAAGGTCAAAACCAGAATAAAGCTGAGTAGAGGAGTATTTACCTCAAAATTCCCAGGAGCTTTTAGTTTCTTTTTATACTGTCTGCACCTTTTGAGTTGGCCTGACTAAGTGGCAGGGTAAGAAAGGAAAAAATGAGCCTGGATTCAGCAAAATAGTAAGATGTCTCTCTCAAAGTGGAGAAGACTGGGCCTAGTAGCTAGAGTTCCATAAAATACTGAATGAGCTCAGATCCTAACCTGAGTGGAAGTCCCATAAGCTGTGCCCTGTCCCAGTTTCATTTGCATCCCTCTGGTCAGTGTGACACCACAACACTTGCTTTAAAGAAGATTTTTGCTTCCCTATGTGTTATCTCTGCTGAAAAAGATGTCTGTCTTTGACACCATTTTGTAGGGGTTTGTGGTTTTTTTTAATCAATAAAGACTATTTATACAATATTTGGTCCCATGGGGCCAAATTCATAGAACTGTAGAATGGTTTGTATGAGAAGGAACTTTAAAACTCATCTAGGGCCAGACACAGGAGCAGATACTCTGCTCAGGACCACTTTGGCTCTGCTTTTTCCAAGTGCCTGAGACCCTGAGCTTGAGCCTAAACAAACACATCAGCTTCTTCAGAAAGTTTCTACGCCAAGGACTAATGAATCTGTCTCATATTTGCTGCATACCTAGAAAAATCAAATTACCTTGAATCAACTTACAATACTGCACAACGCTCATGGCTGTTGTTAATATGGTGTGAGCCAGAAGTATATGTTTGGCTTATACTCTTTAGAATGGAAGACAATGGAGTGGAAAGAAGAGACAGCAGAGTGTGTGGTGTCACCAAACATCTGTACTGCTGAAGGTACAGTCTAGGGAAGTACCTTTAAGTGGAGAAATTGCGCCAACGTGTAAAACGCTCCTTTCACGAAACATGGAAAGCCAATATCTTTTCCATGGCTTTTCAGAAGTCAGATGCTAGTTAAAACCTGTGGATATGTGTACATTCCTTTATATGGATAATTAGCTACTTTATGTGTGGTGCCTCCTCGATTAAAGAAAATTCTTCTATGCAAATAAGTGGAATAGATAGGTCAAATTTATATGTGGAAAAAAACCCTTCTTTTATATAAGTATGTAGAATTTATTTAGGTGAGTTTCTTACTTCATAGACAAGTGTTAGTTCCTAGACAGCTCCTGGCTATTTAAAATGTTCACCCTTCATTGTCCTTTTAAGCAATGCCTATATACAAACACTGAGGAGGAACAATTGATTTTGACAACATGGTTAAACAAATGACACAAAACCACATGTCTTGGAATTGGCTTTTTTGCTTTTTCCACTAAATGATCAAGTCCTGTCCTATTGGAATCAATGGCAAAATTCCATTGAGTCAATAGGGCCACATTTTTACCCTACACTCTTCTTTTTCAGTAATAAGTAGATTTGGCCCAAGTTTGTCTGAAGATACTGCTTTAAAAGTATTTCTTCTGCTCTACTGAATAACAGAGTGCATTGATATTTAAGAATGAAAGCTCATCAAGTTTAAATTTCAGTTGTTTCATAATAATAGCCATATGTTAGTTATAGATTGTGTAAGTCTGAAGTTTTGGTAATTTAAAACTGCTTTAAAGCGACCTTTACATGGTTCAAATTTCAACATTTTCTAAAAGCAGTCCATATCGGTCCTTACTCATAAATCCTTACATTAAAAGAATCTGCAGGCCCGGGCCCTTAGTTAACAGGCTTACAGTAAGGAAGTGCTGTGAACATCTATACACACACTTGACCTCCCAAATCTAGTCTTAACAATGAAATCAACGTAACTGCTCTCAGAGGACAAAATCAGACCAGGATGAAATGTCAACTAAGAAAGGCCACTCACGGTTACTATTGAAGACAGGATGGGAAGCAAGAGGGACCTCCAGCCTGACCTGATACGGTTGTTACATTCTTCTCTAGTTAAACAGTGCAAGAAAATATGACATAGTACAGGAAATACTTTTTTTTTTCAGTAGTGGCTAATCAGGCTGGGGAGGCAGAGATACTGTGGGCAGTATGAAGGCTGTAGCTCAGCTCCACTACCACTGCCTGGTGTTGCCATATGATTTCTCCTTGATTTCCCAACCACACTGCAGATGATCTTCTCTTTTGTTTGGGGTGCTCACATGGCTGCAATTTCTTATTTCTTTGCAGTGCTCCATTCCCTATTCACCTCCTTTCGTGTGCCTTTCCTTACATAATTGAGAACTTTCTAAAAAGCCATATTATTCCTGACTTTCCATCTGACCGAATATTTCCACTGTTATAGTAAAGGTGTTTGATTTTTGGTATTTGAGGCTTTTCACATCAAATATGAGCACTTCCAAGTGTTTTTATTTTGATAACAGGGAAACCAAGGCACATCAGCTAAAGCTATTTGCCAGACTATATAGCATGAGCACAGCAAGATACAGACTAGCACGAAATCTCCTGATCCTTCCCTCTAATGCCTTGGTCTTTAAGCATTCTTTGGAAAATAAAGTAGCAGAACTAAAAAGAAGATTAAAAATGTGCCACACTCAAAATAAGATCAAAACAAGTTTTGATATGCTGACAAAAAGGAAATGCTGATTGAAGTCTGCTTCAAATTGATTGATATCTTAATAGGCCTCTAACTTCTGTGGAATTTTTTTACTTCACCCATGACATTAAATGTTAAAGTGCTATATTGCAGCACTTTTCCCCTGAATAAGAAACATACTGTTCACCTAGCAGCTGATGAGACTTCCTTTTCTTTTGGTGTACTACTACCTTTAATGGCCACTTTTCCAGATTTTAGACCCTTGATATATTTGAACCTAAATTCGATGTTTTCAGTGAAAATACACAATGCAGCAGATAGACATTGGGAATCCATACAGCCCACGGCAGCACAGAGAGATTATAGGTGTGGATGCACACCTGTCCCATGTGCAGTACTTCCCACTCCAACATCCATGGAAGCACCATGGGGCACAAGAGAACCAAAGCCAAAAGTAGCAAGGACCCAGCTGTAAATAGATATAAAACCAACTGCTTTATTGCTCTAAATTAATAATATATGAAAGAAAAGCTATCCAAGAATTGCAATCAGTTGCTCCAGTTTTTTAAAAATAATGCATGGCTGTATGTATTAAGGCGCTGAGGCTATTGTATCTTTTGTAAAATGCACGGGGGTGCATACCAGAGGGACCAGACCGAGTGGTTTTAGCGGTGCGACTTGGACACTCTCAAGGCACCCTCCATGGAGCTGCATTTCCCGGGGACAGGGGGGCGGCGGGTGCCCGTTCGGCCGTGCCCCTCTCGCCAAGGAAACGAGGCGGCAGGAAACGGCAGGAGAAGGAGGGAGGTAGTGAGGGAGACCCTCGGAGAAGCCCCATTGTTTAGATTTCTGTCACAAGCCACGAGAATACTTAATTTCTTTCGTCTCTGGAGTTTTCATTATCATTCAAATTTCATTTTCCATTAATTGATCGGGGATTAGCGAAGCCATTATGCAAAAATTAAAAGACAAGGCAAATGCGATGAATAATTTATGAGGGACAATTACACTTTATTCCTGGTGCACTTCCTAACTTCCCTCCGACTCCCCGCCTGCTGCAGATGACAGCCTTCCCTCCCTCCCTCCCGGCCGAGCGGAGCCGGGCCGGGCGCGGGCAGCCCGAGGCGCCCCCGGGCGCTGCCGCCGCCCGCCGCCAGGTGTCAGGCGCCACCCGCGGTGCGCGGGGGGCCGCGGAGGCGCCGCGCTGCTCCCGCCGCTCTCACGATCCTTATCGGAGCGACCGCCAGCGCGCTGGGCTCGGGCGGCAGCGGCGGTGCCTGCACGCTGCCTGCTCCCTGCCCGCATCCCGCAACCCCTCCCGCCGCCGCGGAGCCGGCCTGGAGCGGGAGCAGCCACGGGCGCTCCTCGCCCCATCATCCTCGCGTCCCACACCCCTCACACCGGGCATCTCATTTATCCCACCGGACAGTTGTTGCCCCATTAAAGTGCAGTCCCGCCCTTCGCGGAGGACCTTTCATCTGGGGAAGTTTTATGACACTTTGTAAATGTGCAAAGTTTTTAATTAGACTCGCCAGACAGCCCCAGGCAGCACTAGCGCCACGAAGTCTTCATGCCGCTCTCTGCTTTACAGCACAACAAGCCGCTCTACTCCTTTGAAGACAATGCCGACTATGTCTACGATGTCATGTGGTCGCCAGTGCATCCCGCGCTCTTCGCCTGCGTGGACGGGATGGGGCGCCTGGATCTGTGGAACCTGAATAACGACACCGAGGTGAGGCGGCGCGGCGGCGGCCGGCGGTGGGGAGGCGAGGGCGGGCGGCGGGGCGCCGGGGAGACCTTAACCCTGTGAGGGCCGGCGGCGCTGGCGAGCACCCCCTCGCCGTCCTCCCCGCGGGCTCTGCGGGGGCGCCGCGCTCCCTCGGGGCAATGGCAGCCCGGCGTCGGCCGCTCCCGCGCCCCGGGGCGCGGCGGGAGGGGAGGGCACGTCCCGCTGCCGGGGGCTCCCGCCCGCCCCCCTCCCATGCCCGCCTTCCCTCTCTCCCTCCCTCGCGCGCTCCCTCCCCTGCGGCGGGGCTGCTGCGCTCGATACCTGTCAGGGGCGGGAGGGCCGACTCCGGCACCCCCGGCAGAAAGCCAACACAATTAAATGCCGCGGTGCCGGCTCGGGGAGGAGGATCCCTCCCGCTCTGTTATTTTAAGGTGCACTTTTTAAACCGCGCCCGTTCTGCAGGTTTTTTTTATCCCCTCCCCCAGTTTCTGGTGCACGACGCTCCAAGCACCAGGTTTGCGATGCCCGCCCTCGCCCAGGTGGTCACACCTTGGCAGGCCGGCCACAGGCTGCCAGCGGGGACCGAGGCGCCGGGCAGCCTTTCGTCAGGGCTCATGTTGCACTGGGAGACTTCATTTCTCTCCCTAATTATTATCCTCTGCTCCAAATTCTCTGGAGATTATAACTTGGAAGCCCCGTACTGGTGCCTCCATCGTGTCAGAAACCCAGTGCGTGCCCCTGCATCTCCCCTCGCCTCCCACCTTTGAGTCGCTAGGTACCCCACTTCAGTCTTTTAATGCACAGGGCATCTGTCTCTCATGTTATTTGGTACTTCATACCCTCACCTTTCTTTTTCTTAAACTTTGCTGTGGAGCTTAAAGACACAAATGCAAGTGACAAATAACAAGTTTTCTTTCCATTGCTATTAACTAAATAGTGGGGACCACTGGAGAGGAAACATCTCACCTTCGAATTTTGCTGATGAGAAAGGATTAATCAGAGTGCTTTTAACAAAGCTTGAGACTGGTAAACACTGTATTTTTTAAAAAAAATATTTTTTAATGTTCCAAACACCATTTTTTCTCCTATTATGTCAGATTTTTAGAAATGCCAGGAACTTAAAATGGTACTATTTTTTCTGTATTTGAGTTTCCCCCAAAAATGTTTTTGAGAAAACCTGTCACGTCACCTGAAGTCAGTCTTAGATAGCCAGCAATCAGTATGCAGCACGAGAAGTGTTTTTCCACACACAAAGTCTTGCATGGTTTTACTTAATGCGATGTAGAATTAAGAACAAACAGACAGTAAGAAAATAAAAGGTCACATATTCGCTGACCAGTTTCTTTTTATGTCCAAAAAAAGAGAAGACAAAAGAGCAAGCAACAGTATTTTTCTCCATACACTCTATTTTTTTTTATTATTTTTTTAAGATTAGTTTGACCATTACTACATCTTTCCTGTAAACATGCTATGCATTTCAGACAGAATAAAATACGGGTGCAGTTTATGGCTTCAAGTGAGTGGTGCTTGCCATAAATAAGCACAGACAGGTAAGAGGAACCAGCACCGGGCACTGCACTGTCAAGGGGAGCAGTGAGGCCTTTTGAAGTGCTCTGAGCAGGAAGCAGTGCAGCCTTTTTAATTAGAGCACATACAGCTGGAGGATATACAGGAGGAGTCTCCTCAGAATTTATTTTGGGAAGGGAGGGACATATCCTTCAGGTGTTCTCATTAATGCAGGCTTAAACACAGAGCATAAACCCCAGCATTTTGAGAAGAAAAAAAAATAACCCTTTCCCCCCAAATACCAGGGCTGAAATCCTGCTCTGCTTGAAATCAACTGATGTTTTGCCATTTCACCCAATGAGACCATAACTTCTTTCCAAAAAATTAATATGGACCGCTTGATCCCATTCCCATCAATAACAAGGCTGTACATAGCAAACTGCTGTGCATTTTCAGTGTGTTTACATATAAATACATAGTAACATCAGGAAAAAAAATTAATTTCAAGCTCGATCTTGCTTTTATTCTGCATGCAAGGCCACCCCTGATTTCACAAGTTATTTCCGTTCTGAGAGGTCAAAATCAACTCTCATATGAGGGTCAGAATGGAATTATTTCCGTGATATCTAAGCTTTGTATTTTTATGAAAACCGACTTTGGGTCTCTGGATGCAGAAATACCATTTGGTTTCCTTACTGAACATGGATGAAACAAATTAAAAAATCTATATAAATGATAAACTGGCAGATTCTGAATAGCTGTGAAGTTTGGTTATGCAAGAGAAGCAGCAAAAGTGCCTCTGAAAGGGAGAACTGTAAACAGTTCTTCCGAGCATCGTAACTGAAAGTGATTGTTGTTTGCTTTTACCCTCTATCTGATAGGTCATAATTAGTTAATAATTTTCAAGATTTCTGTAATTGATTACACCGTTTAAGTCTGCACAGCTATTTGCTAAGAAAAACTCCTTGTCAGCACTTTTGCCTTTGTAATAAGAGATCTTGAAACACCTATTTTTTAAATCATGATTACTTTTAGATGTCAGATATGTGATGTCAAAGTATTTGTGAAGACAGTAGAAAATGACAGGTCTATTACTGTGTTTAACTGCTAGCTATTGATAAAAATCTCTGCATTAGAACTAGATGTGATTGTTATTAATGAGTCCTGGTTTTGTTTAATTTGGGGAATAAGCTATATTATTCTTTAGGTGTTATTTTGAAAATCAATTAAAAAGAAAACACCTGGGTTTAGTTACAATATGCTACCTTCAAATTTTTGAACTGCAACAGAGTTTCCACTAGCGTTACTCCCCGTATTTATTAAAAACATTTTTCCTGAGAGGTAGATGTTTTCTAATGAAAATAACTAAGATCATTTGACCGTACCACGGATTTAATAATTATAAATTCTCAAAATCCCAATGCAAACTAGTAAGGCTATCAGTGTATTTCATATTGATCTCTGAATATCAGAAATTGTTTTTGTAATAGCAATGAAAATAGTCACGTTTTATTTTATATCTGATAAATTAATGTAAAAAACCTTTAAAAGAAAAAAATCCTTACCCATTGCGTCATTCTTTTGCAAACTGAATATTATTTTTATGGATCGGTATAGTGAGATTTGCAAATAGTTTCAGGATAGCAAATGCCGATTTCTTACCTTTGTGTCTGTATTTCTTTTTTGATCAAGACTGGAGAAGATCTCTAGGTGATTGATGAGTCTGTCTATGAACCGATACGAAACTGACTTAGAAAGTTGCTTATTTTTTCTGTGTTATATCCCATTCAAATGTTTTGGGGTTTTTTTTGCATACCATACCTTAGCTTTGCAATTGTGAGGATGGTATCTATATCTAGAAACAGATAACAGATGTATTTGCAAGCAGGTTTTGACACTACATAAGCAGTAAAAATAATAATAATATAAAGGCTATACTCTTATCATGCAAGTTTTTTTTACTGCATCTTTCTTAATCTGTTATCTGTTAAAATTTAATTTAAAAATTGTTGAAAATTTGACAAGCAAAAACTTCAGAGAATTTATATAGTATTTCAAATGTGATTTTTAAAAACATAATGCTACCATTATAAATAAACTCTTATCTTGAAATCTAAAATAGGCATGTGTAATTTAACCTATCACTACTGAGAGCAGATAAATCTATTTTAAGATACCATGGGTTTACTATATTTCTCTCTGTATCACTGAGAAAAGGCTTTTTATTTAGATTTTTAAAGACTTTCATTACTGCTTTTTATTTGGTTAGGCAGCTTTGTGGATTAGTAACAGGATTTTTCAAAATCATTGGGTTTTGAAAAAAATCATGGGTTGTGTCTTGTGTCTGTGGCACGCATGCTGCTTATTTTTATGTGGAACACCGAAAAAATGCTGTATTCACAAAAACAAAAAAAAACCCTAACCAAACCAAAACTCAGCTTTAGAATTATGTATTTCAGTCTCCTGAAAGATTTTGTGAAAATTCAGTGCCTTAATATACACTATATATTTGTACATGAAACAAATATGTTTGATTTACAGTTTTCTGAGAATCGTAGCTGGTTAGTGGCTTAGTCCTCTACAATGTGGCATTTAATTTTTTGAAAAATTCCATTTCCAAATGTTATGAAATCAATTTTGGCTGGAATTAAAATAGCTTTTTTTTTCCCCCTAGAAATCAGTGATCGGAGCAGCAAAACTTGCTTGTTTTCTACTGTGATTTTTATCGTGGATCAATGACTCTCTGTCAGCTTAAGGCCATTAACTCTCACTTAGGTAACAGACTTGGGACAAGGAGTTAGTGCGTGCCAGTTTTTTTGGGTGATACTGCCTTGGACAGGACCTAGGCCTTGCACAAGGGGGACATGAGTCCGGTAGTTATTTGCATTTGAATGACTTCTTAAAGGGGGAAGGGTGGTATCTGCTTTCCAATTGCTATCCAGCATTATTTCTACATCATTCTGCAAACAAAACCCTCTTGCATTCCACATGTGGGGCTCAGGACAGTACCGTGAACCCCTTTGAAGAGGTGGAGCTTTAGCTTTGGTGGATTCCTTGTGCTCGAGGTTCTAGTTGGTTTTGCAGCTGTGTCAGGGTCGGTGAGGAGGAGTAGGGGGAGAGGGTCAAGGGAAGCAGCCCTGTTTCCCAGTCCTTGTCCAGCTGCTGTCGTGGCAGCGCACACACTGCAGCTGTAACAAGAGTCTCAGCAAGTCTGCAAAGGTTGAGCTTCCTGCTGTCACTCGTCTCGTGTGACACAATGAAGGCACTAGAGCTGAGGAGAAGGTGACTGGCATGGGAGCTGTAGAATGTTTACTTAAAAATTATTTTTCTCCTGGATTGTTGGACCTATCTCACAAGAACAATATAAAGCTACAGCCACAGAACAAAGATGAAGTTAGCAAAATACTGGTTTTGTTAATCTTGCCAGTTTGTCAATGTTCAGACTAGGCTTTAATAAATACGACCTTGAAGTTGCTCTCTTTCTTTCTGCTGCTTTGTGCTAACAGTGAGGATGGAAGGAGTACCTGTCACTCCTCCCAAGGTAGCCTGGACTCTGATTCCTGTCCAGCTACCTCTTTTTGTCTGGACTGCTCTCCAATTCTGTGCCCATTTATAGATTCCAGGGCATTCCTTTGTCCTCATCTCTCTGTGTGACCAAGACATTTTCCCACCACATGGATCTGGTGGAGGAGCTGCTTTTGCAGCTATCCTCTCCCATTTGCCCTGACCTAAAAAGCAGTGAAACTAAACGGCCTTGTTTGGAAGACTGTTATGCCAAGCTACGGGCTCCTTGCTCAGGCAGGTTCTTCTGTTAGAGGCAGCTGGGTGGAGCATTAGCAGCTTGCAGGTTACCGTCATTTGTCTTGTGAGGTGACCTAAATCAACTGAGTGATCCACCTATCTGGGACAAACACCCACAGAGTTCCTTCCTTCTGCAGCATCTTTTGATGCCCTCATTCCAGCATAGATTACAAATACTTCTCCTATGATCATGTTCATTGCTTTATTCATCCCACACATTAACCAGAATCTTTATGTATTCTTGTGTTTAGTTGGTTGACTTGGGGCAGGGAGGGGGGTTGGAAATTAGACAGCATCCGAGTGTATTTAAAGCAGAAGTAATCTCCTGGGGATGTAAAAGAGAATTGTGGGAATATATTGTAGGAGTTCCTAAATGTCAGCTCAGCTGTTCTCACTTCTGCTGTGTCCTCACTCTAAAGTGATTAGCTCAGGACTTTTCTGACATAAATACTTAAGTTTCTACCTCTGCATCTAGCTGCAGAGGTGAGTATGGATTCAAAAGATGTGTCAGCATGAATACAGGGATGTGTCTGCTGACCGTCAGGTTATCTGGGCCTGAGTCAGAGTCCAGAAGCCAGGGCAGGACTGAAGCTAAGTCCTACCCTCAGCTGGTTCTTGGTCATGTTAGGGACTTTTGAGAAAAAAAGCTGATGCAGTTTTGGATGTTTCCAGGATTAAGGGGTAAAAAAGTCTTGCCTGCTCTTGCAATCTCTTACTCTTTCCTGCTTTTAGCACATGTGATCAAAGAAATAACGAACCCTTTTTTTTTCTTCCCCTAGTGAAGGTTGTGTGTTTCTTCCAGCAATGCCAAGGGACTTTGGCTCACCCAGCTAAGCAGGACATTCAAAACTGACCCTAGGTTTGTAGGCAGTGTGATTTTATTGTCCTTCCCGTTCCTATTGTTTCAACAGGTTCCCACAGCCAGCGTCACCATAGAAGGAGCTTCTGCCCTCAACCGTGTCCGCTGGGCCCAGGCTGGGAAGGAGGTAGCAGTTGGTGATTCAGAAGGCCGCATATGGATCTATGATGTTGGAGAGGTATTATTGTTTGGGGGGGTTTTGTGGGTTTGGTTTGGTTTTTTGTTTGTTTGTTTGGGTTTGGTTTGGTTTGTTTGTTAAGTTCATCCTGGGGATTGAAACATCCAAGTTTGAGAAAGAATAAGCCAGATTTCTTTCAGTGGAATCCCCACTGAATTTGGGTTGCCAACGTGTGTTAGTCATAAAGTTACCTTGTAAAAGAGTTAACTCATTAAAGTCTCATGAGAGAAGTCTCTTTTGAAAGTTTTCACTGTTTTTAAAACTGTTTTTTTAATGGTTCTATGGGTACAGTTGGACAAACTTAAAAGAACATAAAGAGAAAAATCAAGGTGCAAAAAGAGACTGTGCTGTTCTGAAGTTGGTCCTGAAGGATTCACCTTTCCAGTATCTCTTATTTTATGACTGGCTTAATGCTGTACATTTTTCTCAGCATGACAGGTACAGAATGCATCTGTTCTTTTGATACTGCATAATGCTTCATATGTCTCAATATGTGCAAAAGTACTAACAGGAGGAAATGAGAGGTGTCATTGTAGAGGATGGTAGGTGCATGCGTGATAAAAGAGTATGCAGGTGCTGAGAATAGCAGGATGCATGTTCTATGTCTAAGGCTGCTCTCAATTCACTCTGCTACATCTTATAACAAATACCTAAACTGCAGTGTGTTTGGCAGTGATGAATCTACCTCTTTGTTGATGAATGCTGTATAAAGTGTTCCATTGGCATTACAATCCCTTGGAACAGTTAAGAGTGAATCTCTGAGCAATCAGCTTTTATGTAGAGAATTTGTTTTCCATCATTATCTGTGATAGGATACTGAGATATCCATCTCTACACAGTAGGGAAACATTATAGAATGCATACAGAATTATCTGTAACTCTCATAAAATGATTTTATGGCCCACAGCAAAATTGCTTGTGCATGACTCATGTTTTTGGATTGCATTCACTTGTGCAGGAGTTGCCCTTCCTCACAAATGTTTGCTGAAACTTCTTGCCATATTGTTAGCATAATCTCTAAATTGTCTAAGGTTACTGTGCTCAGATTTCCACTGTGATGCTGGCAAGTCAGGCTGGTTTTATTTATTTTTCATTTTTACATGATTGTTCTGAGAAGGTGTTTTTCTGTCTTTCAAGTGATATGACAGGCTATGGAAATGTCTTTGATGACAGCACAGAGTGATCTTTTCTGGGAGATGGACTGTAGAAATGTCTCTTTTTCATATCATACACCAAATCATTCATAGGATTGTTTACCCCTGCAAACTCACTCAGGAGAAAATAGATGTAGTGTTCTATACAGTAGTAGTAATATTTTAAGGTTTTGGCCTTTCCTCTATGTAATCAGACGTCAGCTTGCAAAATGAGTCACAGTGATACACCCGGATAAAAAAAGACAGGCTTCTATTACTTGAAGAAGAAAAGAGAGTCATTCAACAGTATTTATTTGTGTGAGTCCAGTTCAGTGGTACATAAAGGGCTTTGCTTCACGGATGTTGCATGTCCGGCCCGTGCAGAGCCTCAGTGTCTCCAGCTCAGCTCAGTATGCAGTTATGTAAACCAATGGATGTCCATCCACATGGCTGCTGACAGACCATTGTAAACCCTCCTCCTCTCCTGTAAGGAATGAAGGAGCTCAATAATTTGTTGCCTAGTTCATTCTGGCAGTATCAGTCTCTGCCGTAATTCCTGTATCAAATTCAGAAGAGGTGATCTGGGCTGCAGCAACTTCAGATGCTACTGGGGCTGCTGTATTGTAGTGCCTTTTTCTGATTTGGAAAAGAAGGGTGTTCATCTATTCTCCAGCCCAGCTTTTCTCACTATAAAGCAGAGATATATCTCACTATAGATGCAGAAATACTTTGCAGCTCAAGAGTCTGGAACCGAGGGAGCATGTACAGTGAATAACAGCCTCTTCGGTCATTAACCCTGTGTACCAGTCCATAAAGAGCTCTTTGATGAGTGAATCCATGCTTAGCTGTCCTCAGGCATGACACATGGGGGACTCACAGCGTGCACATGCACTTTTGGAAGTGTCTGGCAGAAAAATGGCAACCTTTAAGGCTCTGCTTTACTTCAGTGTGCAGTCACCAGCCAGTTCCTTGTCTCAGCTGGCTTCCTCCTTTGACTGTCCTTTTTGTATGGGTTTGATTTTGGGATGTGACGGGGTTGGTCTGACAGTTTAAAAGGGGCAGCCCTTCTCCTGCCAGCCACCTCTACCCATATTCCTCGCTGCCCAGTTTTTGTGTAGGCAGCACTGCTTGTTAGCACTCGTGTGGTGGGAGACAGATCAGTAGAGAAGTATTTATTTGTTTGGTTTGTTTTCTTTGGAGTATTTTTCTTCATGAACTGACTCAGTGTGGGAATAGATGAGTGAGCATGTGGCTGGGGTCGAGGGGCTGGGAGCTGGACCGTACAGCACCTGGCAGGACCTAACTTTTGTATTTGACCTAGAAGTGTTGCAAATCCTGACACTAAGCTGTGACAGTTGACCTTTCAGCAATAACGCTCTTCCCATCTCCTACAACATCAGCTTCTGAAAAGGCCTCATCACTGGAAGAACTCATCCCTGCCTGACTGATAACTCAGTAGCATCCACTTGTTTGAAGGTGCATCTCTCTGATTTGGGAAGATGGGTGTGATTACTTGCATTAGAAAGTCAGCAGGCCACTTTACAAAGACCCTAAATACACTCACCAAAACCATTCATGCTCCACTTATACTGCACCCTTTTTAAAACCTTTCTTTTCCTGTGACTGTTCCAAATACCGTGTTAGATTAGCTGTAAATTCATAAAACATTGCTTCCATGAGAAAAAAATGTGATTATATTTGTATTTTAATAAAGCACAGTGTCTTTGAATTTCACAACACCAGATAAACAGTTTTTCTTACCTGTTTAAACAGACAGCATTGACTCCGTGAATTTTCATTAAACCAGAAAACATCAGGTTATCAAATCATTAAGGAAAAGAAATAACTGGTAGGAATTTTTACTTTGGTAGATTCATCATGGTTTTAAGGAACTATCCTAGAGAGCAGTAAAGTTTACTGCTGCTATTAACCCATACGGTGTAAAGAGAAAACATATGACCTAAGTGAAAAACATAGGACACGAGGGCTAACCTTGCATCCTTTGTGAAGGCAAGGAGTGTGAGATCTGGGATGTTTTTGCTTATGTAAGAATTTACGGTTTGGCCCTTGTTGATATGTTATCCAGTCATGGTTTTTATGACACAGGAAATGTCAGAAACATAAAGAACATGTCAGGGTCCATGACCAGGGAGTTAAAAATAATGGTGACATTTGCAGTTAGGCTATACAATGTTATCTCCTTAGAGTATGTAGTTTTAGTTGTTTGATTTCAGCATCGCATCTGAAAATAACTGAACACATTTATTTTCACAGTGAGGGGTCTATTTTCTCCTCTATGTGTGTGCTTTATGCCCATTAGCATTAATGGGAGTTACACACACACTTCCAAGGGAGAGGAGACTTAAATAGTCCATATAGATGTGCTCTTGTGGATCAGTAAGCACTGACTTTAAGAATGTAAATTATAAAATGAAATAAAAACCAAAACACACAAAAATCTGATTGTTTCAATGTGATGGGATCTTAAACCTATATAACTTAACCAGAATTTATAACCAGTCATTGTAAGTACATTTTACTTTCGGTAAGATCTAAATATTAAAACTTTTGCTGGCCTAGTAGCTGGGATATTATTATTGTGATAGTTTGTATAATATATTTTAGCTTCTGTGGTCTTACAGCTTATTTACTGGGCAGCAAGATTTCTGTATGGTGGAAGTTGATTTTAACAGAACATGGACCACTGACTTTAGATTTATTCACATGTCCAGATGATTGATAGTTAGACCTAACTGCATGTCTGTTTTGTAGATATATTTTCTAGAAAGCTTGCTCCTATTGTGCACGCTTCAGTGATGTTACACAGTGGATGCTGTCATAAATAATCTCTAACAACCATGTTTGTTGCTTACCTGGCTTATTGAGAATGCTCTTTGCACCTTTGGTTGTGAAAGAAGCAGCTTCTCATCTGCCTTCCATTATTTCTCTTTTCTTTTTTTTCCCCATTTATCTCTTCCAGGTCACATTCTGCTTGCACTGTGAGTATATAGATAGAAACTGTGAATCAATGACTTACTATTTGATTGTAATGAAATACAAAGTAAGTTTGTAGCACAGGACTGCAGAGTTTGAAACTGGAATCATGAGTAGCTTAATGCAGTACATTATTTTGTTAAACTAGTTACAGGGCAACCTGTTGCATCTGTTTAGCGGCCTTTCAGACCATTGGTTCTAGTCATGCTTTTCAAAGGTAGCTATTGTGACAGGTGGAACTGGAGAAAAGTGAGAAAAGTAAGAAAACATCCTTCTCTAGACTCTCCAGGAAGGTTGGCTTTGCCAAAGAAGGCAGTTACCTGGGATTCTTGGTTCACTTATTCCCTCTGTCATCATTTCCTTACAGTGAAATCTGAATCATATGGATGCTTATGTGATTTTGGTAGGTTTCAGGGCTACTATCGACTTAAGCCTTTTTAGTGCTGCTATGTTAGGTTGTTTGTGTACTTCCCTATTTGCTCCTTGATAGGTGTTAATCCTGTATCTCATTTTCGAGTATATGACCAGTGAGGGAGGAGCTGAAAACTGCCTGAAGTATGTGGGTGAAGTGGTATAGTAAGGAATATCCCGCTGGTGCCTATAAAATAATTTCCTTTAATTTCAGCAGCCTTTAGCAGCTGCTCTGAGATCTTTTGGGTTCTAGACAGAAATAAGTGTATATTTGTGACCAACTCTCACATTTCAGCATGGTTATTGAGTCACTTGTTTTTCTGTCTAGAGTGGGAAGGATTCGTACTTTGTACTTCTGTCTTGTGATCCCTGTGTTTCACTATAGATGTCATATGGAAAACATATTCAGCATCTCTTTCATGCAGTTAAAAACTGCTGTATGCCCAGAGAGAGAAATATGAAGCTAGGTTTTGTGTCATAGTCATTCAGGTAGATTTTCCAGTAGGTTTGCTCTTGCCATCATAAAGCTTCTGTAGAGCTTATATTGAGTTGGGAAATGTTTTTGCCACAAAAGCAGAGTTGAGACTCACCATAAAATGTTTTATTTTAAAATCTCTGTTGAGTTACAAGTATTCTTGGAACACAGATAAATGGCTCATGCACATATTGTGAAGGCAAATTTGAGCAATAATAAAGGGTTGTGCTTACAACCAAGTTTTATTCAAAAGTGTTCAAAGATTAAGTAAGACATGGTAGTTACAACAACATGCACAATCCAGGCATAAAGGATAATTAAATAGATTGTGTGGCACTGTGAATTTCACCATTGATATTTTGCTAGGGAGGTTGGAATGCTGGCCTCAGAGAATTTTAAAAGCATATTTTAACAAGGCAGAATCTCTTACGAGTTTTTGGAAAATGTAAAGAGCTAAGGTTTTGATTTGCTTCCCTTCTACCCCCAGTTTTATAATATTCAGTCTTGAAAGACTTTTAAAACTGGAAGCATTTAGAGATGACCAAAAAAAAAATACTAGGAACTTCAGCTTTTTACTTGAATAATATCTGAACTATTGAGAAGAACAAGCTCCTCATCCCTCATCATTTGAATTTTGACTGATATAGTAAGTATTCACAAAGGGATTTTTTGAAGTAGGTTAAAAAAGAACTCCCTAATGAAAAAAATGCACTAGTTTGAAATCAGTCAATTTAATTACTGTGTTTTATGAAGGCCATTACCCGTTGCTGATTACTAGGGTGATAAAATCTTTAAGCTTTGGTAGCCTCCATAGGGGGTGAGCCGATCTAAGTAGAGCAAAGTCCAGTCATTATCACCCTAAATACTTGTGTTTCTCATTACAATATTCATTACTTTAGGTTACTGTGAACGCTTTGAGGTCTTTTTGTAAGCACTGGTTTATTCTCCTGTAGAAAAACAATATTGTTATGTTGGTAAGCTAAAACCAAGCATTTATATACTTTTACAGTTTAAAATGGAACTTGGCTATATCCATACATAACAATGTATAGATTTATACTTGTGAGTATCCCTATACATGCATATTGATAGTGGAGTGCTTGTCAGTGAGGTCATACTAGGCTGATAAGAAATGGAAAAGGATATGAGTTACCTTGTTCTTTCAGTGTGTTTTGATACTTAAAGAAGCTGTAATGGAGGCTTGTGTTCTTAATAACAGTCTTTATTAGGGAAGGGAAAACCGAGCCATGGCCTAATTAATCTGAGTTACCTAAGGCTGGATGCTGAAGATTGGAGCTCTTTATCTCCAGTGCCAGCCTACGGCCTTTTGCTTCCCTTTCCCTGCCACCTCTTGCACATCATGTGGAATCACTGGCTCTCTGCCCTTCTCAGTCTCCCTCATCGTGGCCTTCAGACTTACAAAGCAGCTTCATAAAACAGATGTTATTTAAAAGATGATGCAAAATCACTTACTCTTTTGTTTAAAAATGTATATTTTTTTAAAAAAGAACACTTGAAATATATCAGGGAGAGGTGTGGATCTGGGGTACTGGGAGAAAAGAGTAGCCTGTAAGAAGAGGCAGAAGAACTTGGGTGTGACTAAGCCAGGGAAGTCTGAACCTGGTGGCAATATAGATGTTTCTTGTCCTTGCAGAGATAGGAGTGCTTGGGGCCAGAGAGGGAGAAGTAGTGAAGCTGAGGACACGCTGCCAACAGTGCATGTGGCTGCAAGCTGGCCATGTATTCAAGTCAAAAATTAGAATAATATTTTTAACTATCAGAAGGCTGAAGTTTCAGAGCGGGTAGAGGCAGTAGGACCTCTTGAAGTGGAGCCTGTCAACAGGATTTAGTGATGTGCTTGTGTATGATACTGCAGTGGGTCACACCTGCTGTACAGGGTCACTCTCCTGCCTATGCCCTGATGTATGCTTGCTCTTGGTAACAACACAGTTCCTTCTGTTTCTCTCTCTAGAAAAGTGAACATGAAATTCCACTTTCATTCTACTATCTGAATATTACTTAATAAAATTAAAGGAGGAAGTACCAGATTTTTAATGAAAATATCCTTTTTCTCATTCATTGACTAGACAGTGAAAGTAAACGGTCATTAGTGAAAACAGACAGAAAAGGGTGGGGGATTAAAGAGTAATACTGAAAATTCAGTTGATTCTTTATTCTTAGCTTCCAGTTGCTTATGATAAAATATTTCAGTAATTCTCCAGAGTGAGCTTACTTGTTCCCTGGAGAATTTCACAGGGTAAAAAGACATGAGTTTCCAATATGATACAAATATCTTTTAAAATAATTCTTCAACTCCCCATCATATGAAATAAAAGACTTAAGAAACCCAGTCAACCAACCAACAAAAATCTGGCCCTAGTCCTTTTTATTTATTTGCACACTATTTTAAATCTGACTTATGTTTCCTTTTCCTTTGCAAAGGCCCAGATCCTCCCCCTGCAGAGAGGATCAGAGAGAACAAGCCACATGTGACAGGAGTTAATCATGTAGCTTAATGCACTATTAGAAGGCACTCAGATAACAAAGTGATGAGAGTGGCAGAAGAGAAGCTGTAAGAGATCATTCCCTTTCTGCACAGTAAAGCCTGCAGAAGGGGGAGATGGGAGAGCTGTACGGTATTTTCCTGCTGAACTGGGAAGCACTCACTGTAAAGGGCAAGACAGAAGGGGTAAAGGGAGACCCAGATTGGACATACCACTCTGTCCACATCGGCACTACTGGTGGCTTCAGTACTGTCTCCTCAGTTACTGCTTCTCCTGAAAACTTGTCAAGAGGCTTAGTGGAAAAGATAATCTGTGTCCAGGCTTTCTGTGGTCGTTGTATCTGAGGCAGTGGAACCTGAATGAGTGCTGGTCTGCCCTGTCCTGACCCTGTATCCTGGAACACTGGGGGGGATACAGCTGTAGTCAATGCATGTTAATAGTGTCACAGAGTATGTATTTTAGAGATCTAGTTATTCTGTTGGGTGACATTTTCTCTGAAAAATACAAAATTTAGTTTAAGCTCAGTTTGTGTGCAGCAATTTGCAAATTTCATTGGAATTCGTGAGTTATCACTGTGGTGTTAAAACACGTCAGGAGCAAGAGCTGCTTTGTATAATTAATTTTCTTCATGGTGCTTTTGTGGTTTCAACCTGTCACATCCAGTAGCAGTTTTCATTTTGAGAATCCTTAACTACGTTTTCAATCTTTATGGTTTGCAAAATGGTCTGTATTTTGAACATGAAAAAATACTTAATTTGTGACTTGGAAAGTAAGAGTAAAACCTAAATACCAGCTGAGGATAACTCTGGGCCTTAATGCATCCTATTTTGCAGCTACAATTCTATATTCATTTAAATGTGAAATGTATACTCCAGTGCCTAGAGTGATGGAAGAATCTATATCTGAAATGAAGAAAAAAAAGGAAAAAGAACATAACAAAACCCCCTGCTATTTCATGGATGAGCTTTTGCAGATAATAGGATGTATTCAAAATCTCAGAGAAAACAGCAACTCTCCTGCAAACTTAAAATCTTTGAGCAGTTCATAAGCTACTTATGGTGAGAGTCCATTTGCCAACTGAGAGTCAGAAAGCTCTGGCAAAAGTCCTTTACAGTTCCTACTCTGCCAGATTTCCGGGCATGAATCGTGGCATGGACACGGCCAGCTTGGTTTAAATAGAAAGCAAGCTGAGCTGAAGATGCCTTATTCCCTTCCCTGAGGCAATAGTCCTTCACTCAGCTGAACTTCCAGGGAGGCACCTTTGCCAGTGCAGCTACCCCATGGACTGAAGCTCTGGTGGTATTTCCAGTGAAACTCATGGGCTCGTTCTTCCAGTCAATGTAGTTATCAGTAAAAAATTGTAGATATTGGAAAGAACAATATGTTATGGGCTCCTTCTAGTTTTGATTCATTTGGTATTTTTAGGCTTTCCTGTGCCGCGATGACAACTGATAACATAATTTGGTAGAGGAGGAATTCTGATCCCTTAGTTCCAAATGTTAAATATCCTGACAGTCATGTAAAAAATTCTTGGAGTTTTCAATGGCCTTGAGAAATGATAATCAGAGCAGGACTGAGATCCCTATGGGAGATGAATGGCAGGCAGCATGACTCA